CAATCGATAACCTTCGAAATCTAACGTTGCGATATAATTTCGAAGGTTTTCGAATTAATATAATTACTGATGATGGTAAATAGATCTATAAATTTATTGGTCAAAATTAATTACATGTGTTATCATGTGATTGACTTCTGTATTTACTGATCAAAATATTTATTTTAATAGATAATTGGTTATCAAGACAATTTCGAAAATAGCAATAAGATACATGTTGAACTCATTAATGATATATTCATTAACTTGGATGTGATCAGACCAATATTTAATAATGATCAGACAGCAATACTTTTTGCATATAATCGGAACATTATATCTTATAATATTTAAAAATATTATCAACTTGATAATGTAAAGAATGTTTTTGATTTAATAATATATTTTTGACAAATTGTATGTAAAGATGAACTAATCATCAATAACTTTATAAAAAAATTGGCAACCCACTATAATCAAAATATTTTGAAAGCAATTTCAAATAATACCTAGAAAAAAATAGATATATATACCAATTGAATGAAAATCTCATTTCATCAAAATCAGTTGAACAAGTGTAATGTGATGTAATTGTGCATTGGAAAAAATAAAAATTAATTATATTTTTTAATGATATAAGTGTTCTGAAAATCTGCAATACTAAACATGTCTTAAATATACTTGCATGCAAAATTATTTTGGGGCCCCGAAATTGCAATTTCGAAAAAAAAAGTCGAAATAGTTTTTCATAGAAGACGAAATTATTTTACTTAAAATCCAAAATTTTTTGACCACCCAGATTTATTCTTTGATTAAAGATACATATAACTAGTTACTTTTTTTACTTCCATATATAGAATAGATTTTATATAAATCTCAAAAAGTCAAAATATTTCAAAAATCCAAAATCAATTTTGAGAACATGTATAGTCTTGAAACATATTTTTCATGTATTATATTGATCAAAGAATTTACTTATCCTCTTTGATCCTATTATAATACTTTTTTTGAAAAATTTTAGATATAATGTGACATAAACGCTATTAAATTTTATTTAGCAAAACCTTTTATAACAATAAAAAATAATTAGTAATTTTAATTAGATATTAATGTATATTTTTTTTTGAATGTAATTTGATATTTGATAATTTTTATTTATCATAATTATAGATTGTTCTAAAATCATTATACAAATTGTGATCATTTCACGATTACTCTAATGATAATGATTATTCTTTAAGTAGATAAAACAAAGTTCAAAAAATTTGCAATAGAAAAAAAATAATTATTAGTTTTTCTAAGTGAATTACTAATATAAATAAATACATAGACAGTATAATAAAAAGGATGTGAAAAAAACATTAAGAATTGAAATAAATATTAATTTTAAAAGAATGCCAAGATATGGATATTCAGTTTTTTCTCTTTATAATATTTATTTATATTAACTTGTTATATTGCAATAATAATAATAGGAAAATACTGTTTCACAGTTATTGTATGAAAGGTATGTCTGTAATTGGGATCTTTATTACAATTAATATATATTGATTCAACAAAACCTTATAGTAAAAAAAAAAAAAAATAATTTATAGTTATGACATTTTATATAATTAAAGGAATATCTTTTTGGTATTAAAAAGTTATCAATTCTTTTTTATTTGGTTGATATATATCAAATCAAAAAAATTACTCAAGAAAAAAAAGAAGTTAAAAACATTGTTACAAATTTTTTTAAATAATATATTTCAACTGATTTATTAGTTTATATATTATTAATCCTTTCTTTTTCAAAATATGCATACAAAAAGTAAATACAATTATTATATGTGAGAAAATTATATAATTATACAAAAAGTAAATGTCATAAAAATTTTTTCTTAATAATACAGAATAAATAAAATAAGAAAAGGCAAATGCAATAAGTAGAAAAAACTTAAATGTGAATCAATTATTTAGGATTTTTCTTCTGACTTATCACACACTCATAGTCATATGATGAAGTTAATTGTTTCTTATTAGAGGATTATTGTTTTTATTCTTTTTTATCTATTTTTATTAATATTGCAGAATATTTGTAAAGCTGTAATAATAACTGTACCATTATTATGTTTTATAAAATTACTATATTATAGTTTTTTATTACATCTATAGTAGTTATATTTTGATTTATGTTAAATGTCATATTACATTTATTAAAAATGTTTATGATTGAATAATTTATTAAGTATACTCTTTGATGTAATTTAAATATATTAATAAATGATATAATAATATTGACTTTCTTGTATAAAAATATGACAGTAATAATATAGAACTTGAAATTACTAAGACAAATTATTTATTTTATTTTAACAATTCTCCTACTTACAATTTTACTTGTAAGATATCGATTTCTTAGTTACAAGTTCTAGACCGTTTCATATTTATAACCAAATGAATAATTACATAACAGTTCGTGAAAACGAGGCAAGAATTCAAAATCAAAAACAAGAATTTTTATTTTAAATATGATATTTTTTGATTATTGAATAGAACGAAGAGAATTTATAATTCTAAAAATAACTTTAATTAATCATATGTTCAGTAAATTTTTTATATTTTTATTTTTTTATTTTTTATTTTTTTATTTTTTATTTTTTTATTTTTTTATTTTTTTATTTTTTGTTTTTTTATTTTTTATTTTTTTATTTTTTTTTATTTTTTATTTTTTATTTTTTTATTTTTTTATTTTTTTATTTGTTACATTTCTAATTCTTATGATAAGAAATTCAAGGGTTCATCAAAGTACTCCCATTTCAAGTTATTGACTAATCTCCTAACATTGATACTGGTATTCAGTTCAATACTATTTTCTATATTGTCAATATGTACCTTGTTAAAAAACAATAAGGTTGTTATTGATATAGCCACATTTTTATAACAGAATTATTTTCAAGGACAAAATGAATTGGAAAAGATTTACTTAGTTTGTGTAATGAAAAATAGTGTATTCTGTGTTATAGATGAGTTATATATTATATATTTTCCAGAAAAAAATTTGATAATAAATGTGAATTTTTTTCTACTTTTATTTTATTTTCATAAATAAAGAATTCAAGCTGAAAAATCTAACCTTACATTTTTTTTTTTGTGTTTGAACTAATCTATTATATAATTGTGTAATAATGGATGGCATTGCAAAGTATTTAAAGTTTCAACTTAATTCCCGTATATGGGTTTTTGTAATATTAAAATGATTTAGTTTTCTTCACATAATTATTTCTTGAGTTGATCCCACTCTTGTTACTTGATAAATTGATAAAATTATTGTGATCTCTATAAAAGATTTCATGATATTTTTTCATGTTGTTTTTCTTGCCAATTCAAAATTTGGATAATAAATATCAAAGTTTCAATTCAGATGTTTTATAAAATCAGGATGACAGATTATTGAAGGAGAACCAAGATATTTTTATACAATGCTACAAAATAGGTTTTCACATTTATTTTTATCAAGTATTTCCATTTTTTATACTAGCAAGCAAGACAACTATATCACCATTGATGATTTTTATTATTTTATTACATCCCAGAGTAATTGACTTTTATTATTGATATATATATATTACTACATGTATTATAATTTTTCGTATACCATTTCTAGTAAGGATTTATGACTTCTAGAATTTTTAAATAATTTTTAGTAAGGATTTATAACTTCTAGAATTTCTGAATTTCTGATTATATGTTGATGAGTTCATTAAAAAAATATTTGGTTAATTTATTCCATTATTATTATTATTATTATTATTATTATTATTATTATTATTTACTTTTCAATTGTCAATTTCTTATTATACATATTTTTTACTACTTCTTAATAAAATTATATAAAAACATTTTTGCCAACTGTTGATACGAGCAGATCCTTTTACTTGGATTTACTCATTATTACTTAAAACAATAATAAATTTTCAATTTTCTAATTTCCTAAATTCTTTTAATTCTTTTTTTTTTTTTTTTAATTATAGATTTTCCCCTTGTGAGTGACTTTCTCGTTGAACGCGATTAATGTAAGAGCGAGATACAATATTCCAAGCTTCCATATAACGATCCATACATTTGGCAATGCAAGTCTTAAAAAAAAGAGTATTTAAATGTATATAAAAAAGATATCACAAAAATTATAATGAGAGAAATCAATACCTGTTCACTATTTTCCAATCTATATCCAGGTTTAGAAATACATTTCGAGAAACATTTCTCGTTGATTTTCTATTTATTATCCAATTAAACCGTAAAAATTTTCGAATTTAAAATAAATTAATAAAATTTTAATCAAATATACACGTTATATTTTAAAGTACCATAAAAATCAGCAAAAGAAAAATAAAATGACAATAGTAAAAAAAACTGAATGCTATGCTTTAAACAACCAGCAAGAAGCTCATTAGAATAAATTTTCGCGTACGTTAATAAGTTCTTGTGCATTAGCAAGTGCCAACTCATTTCTGACTTGATCCATTACCGCATTTTTTCTGGATTCTCTATGATTTTAAATAAAATTGTAATAAATATTGCAAAATTTATATTTCTCCCCGAAACCAAAAAAAAATAAACGCCAGATAGATATATATACATGCTACCAGAAGAAGAAGAAGAAGGTAGGCCATAATCACTAGAAAAGTTGCTCATTTTTCTTCGATTTGTTAGGTATGTTAAATAAATAAATATGTTTCCGAAAAAAAAAAAGATCAGAAATCAGAAAGAGATATGTAAGATTATAATATTGTATCACATCAAAAAATATAAATTAAAGAGAATCTTGTATCAAATCCCGTTGTCTTCTTCAATGCTTCAATGTCTACCTCTTCGCCACGAAAAGATCAACCAACCGTGCTTCTATGCATTGGCATGGCCGGTTCGGGTAAAACTACTTTCATGCAGGTAAAAATTTTTTATAATTCTACTCTACTCGATTATTTTCATTCAATTATTACTTGATTATTTTCAATTATTCAATTTATTTGATATTTGATTAACTTATTATTATTATTATTTAATATTTAAAGCGGTTAAATGCTCACCTTCATAGTAAAAAAAGACCTCCATATGTGATAAATCTTGACCCAGCAGTTTTAAAATTACCATTTACTCCCAATATTGATATCCGAGATACAGTCAATTATAAAGAAGTGATGAAACAGTAAATATTATTGTTGATCATATAATTTTCGAGTGTCTACATAAAACATTTAATCAAACTTTAGCGATGACACTTTACATCAGATATAACTTGGGTCCAAACGGTGGAATTTTAACAAGTCTGAATCTCTTTACAACAAAATTTGATCAGGTGCTCGATTTCGTTAATAAACGTGCACCAACACTTGAGTAAGAATCCTAATAAGTTTTTAAAAGATATTCTACGACTTTATATCATTCAATTTATTTATTCTTTAATTTATTCTTTTATTTATTCTTTAATTTATTCTTTAATTCATTCTTTAATTTATTCTTTTATTTATCTTTTTTTTTTTTTATTAGTCATATTATCGTAGATACACCAGGTCAAATTGAAATATTTACTTGGTCAGCTTCGGGAGCAATAATAACTGATGCATTGGCAGCTACATATCCAAGTGTTGTTGCATATATTATAGATACACCAAGAACAACAAGTCCTGCTACTTTTATGAGTAATATGCTTTACGCTTGTAGGTAAATAACTAATTTTGTTTTTCTTTAAAGTTAACATCTTCATTTCTATCCTTCAATTTTTGTTTCAATTTTGCAGATAAAATAAATGAAATAAAAAATCAATAAATGTTAATAATTGATTAAAAACCGGTTTAGCATTTTATATAAAACCAAACTTCCATTCATTTTGGTTTTCAATAAAATCGACGTTGTTTCTCACGAATTCGCTATACAATGGATGACGGATTTTGAAGCATTTCAATTGGCATTACAAAAAGACACGAGTTATATGAGTAATCTCATGAATTCTATGTGTATGGTATTAGAAGAATTTTACAATAATTTAAAAGTAGGTTTTTTTTTTTTTAAATATATATATATATCTTGGTGATTTAATAAAGTAATATACATCAAATATATATATATATATATATATATAATATTTAATATATAATATTTTAATACTTTGTAGGTTGTGGGTGTTTCGGCTGTAACTGGAGAAGGAATAGATGAATTCTTTGGTGCAGTTGATGAAGCTGTTAAGGAATATGAAGAGTACGTGAAATCAAATTATTTTTATGTTATCTTTGTTATCTTTTAGTTATCTTTTAGTTACATTTTAGTTATTTTTATTATTGTTATAAAATTTCTTACAGAATATACAAGCCAGAACTCGAAAGATTAATTCAAGAGAAGGTAAGTTTATTAATTATTAATTATTAATTATTAATATCCTTTGTTAATTATTATATTCATTGTTATTGTTAATTTTCATTATTAATATTTAAAGGCTCGAAAGAAAGAGGATGAAAAAAATGTTCAATTAAATAAATTAATGAAAGATTTGGATGTATCAGATTCTTCAAGTAAATTATTTTATTTTTTATACTTTTCATGACATGATTTATATGTATTAAAATTTTCTTTATCCAATTTTAGGTAAAGCGATGGATGAGCTCGATAATAGTGACGAGGACGATGACGACAATAATGATATACATAATAATATACATAATGGTTTGTTATGTTGAAAATTTTGATTAATTTTTTAATTCTTTGATTAATTGCTTAAAAAATTGTGGAATATATAATTATATAATTTTCTAGATGATGACTATGAACAAATGCAAAGGCATGAAGAACAATTAGAAGACCAAAGTTTTAACAGGTGGATAAAACAAGTAAATCAAAGTGCTGATAGCGTTTAGAAAATAATTAAATATTCAAATAATTTTTTATAATATTAATTGTTAATACATTATTTTGTATTATGATTTCATAATTAAAATATATTTAATTAATTATTAATTATATAAAAAAATGAAATGGGAATAATACAAGTATTATTCATTTAATATCATTTTCAATATCATTTTTCATATAATTTTAATATACAATATTGATAAACAATATTGATATAATTGTAAACTTTTTCAATTAATAATACATTACATTAAATAAATTACAAATATGAAAAGAATACCCACATATTTAAATTTATCAATTCCTTTTATTATTGGATGTTTTTTCATTTGAGCTTCCAGTTAAAAGGTTTGCTAAAGTGGAAGATATATCTGGTATTTCAAGAGGATTTGTTGGCTGATTTTGTTGAAGTTCCTGTAAAGCTTCTTGATCTAATAAAAAAATAGTTAATTTATAAAATTAATTAATTAATTTATAACATTAGTATTTAATAAAAATTTAATAAAATTAATTTAATCACATACCTAGACCAGCCATCATTTTAGGCATTAATATTAAAAACACAACACTAATTCCCATCATAATTATATATGGATTAGCTAAAAGACTAGTAATGCTAAATCCTTCTCGAGGCTATAAAAAAAAAAAAAACGAATAAAATAAAAAATAAAATAACAAATTAATTATTTTAAAAAAAATTAATGTCTATTTACTAACCATGAAATAATCTGCTGTAGATCTTGCATACAATTCAAGAGGATAAGGCAAAGAAGGTCCCAAATTGTTCCATTCGCTACCTGTAATTGTTACAGATGGTCTAACACCTCTAGAATCAACATCCACTCTTATCTATTCTCACGATTTAATTGATTAATTAATATAGATTTATTAGATTTATCAAGGTTGATTTTTTTAAAAAAATTAATAATAATAATTTTCATCTATAATTCCAAACCTTAGGATATATGTACTTTCTTGATAAAACTTCTAAAAGATATGAACCTTGCGTAACATTAGTTCTGAAAAAATATAAAAACCATAATTACTTAAATTTAATATTTCAATAATTGTTGTGATATATTTTAGATCGTCTCACATTACAAAATTTCCATTTTTAAGGATCAAAGCCGAATATTTTCCTCCATCTAGTATTACTTTGGTCGTTGGTTCTAATTGTGAAATATCTACCGATAGATTGCAAAGTTCATAATAAATCGACGAAATGATCACGGTAATGAGAAGAGTAATCGTAAATGAAATAAACTAATTTACCTTGTAGAACAAAATTCACAGCAAACTCCCCTTCTATTTCATAAGAAAAAGTTGTTATTGGCAAAATCGATGTACTAATAAAAGTTTTGATAAAATAAAAATTTAATAAATTAAAAATATATAATTTTGTTAAGGAATTCTAAGTGAAAATTTAATAATTTTACATATACCTGTAAAATAAAATAAAAACAAAGATGGAAAGTTGGTGTATAAAATTCATATTTACGGAAAAACTAAAAAAAAAAAAAAAGAGATTCAGTTAAATTTTTATAAATAGATAAATAAATAAATAAAAACCAGTTTGGTGAATTTTAGAGTAACCTAGTTTAAATTAGTTAAATTAGAAATTAGTTAAATTAGTATAAATTAAGTATTATAAATATATTTAACAATTTATTTAACAATTTATATTTAATTTATTGAATTTAACTATTTACTTTTACTTTTACAGTTATTACAAAAAAAAATATAGATCAAAAATTAAAAATTACACATTTTGGAATATGCTTTCTTTTTTAATATAAATTTGTTCAATTGTTCAAGGTGATTATAACCGTTTTTATCCTAAAACCTGATTTAATTCTTCAACTGGTGAATTAAGAATTGGACCAACATCATTAAACATCATATTATTTTCTTCTTCTTCATATAAAATAACATTAGAAAATTTTAAAGTATTTTCCATCGTCGGTGAATGTTCGTCAGCTATATTAGTTTCATTAAGTTTTAATGTGGGTAAAGATTGTGTTGTTGTTGATGTATATACAGTCTTAGTATCAGTTCCACTGGATGGATAAGATAATGAAATCAAATCGGGAGGATCTTTGGGGAAAGGATCTTTAGGGGAAGGATCTTTGAGGGAAAGATCTTTAGGGGAAGGATCTTTAGGGGAAGGATCTTTGAGGGAAAGATCTTTAGGGGAAGGTGGAGGTGTTGTAGTTGTTGGTTCAGTATGTTCAGAAGTTGGTTGCAATAAATTTTCTGATAGTTCTATTACTGATACAGAATTTTCTTTATTTGATTCTACTATTTCTTTCAGGATAACTGGATTAAAGGAAGTTGAATCATTATTATGATGATTATTTTGATTATTATTATTTTGGTTATTATTTTGATTTTGATTTTGATTATTATTTTGATTTTGATTATTATTTTGATTTTGATTATTATTTTGATTTTGATTATTATTTTGATTTTGATTATTATTTT